TATATCTTTGTGATTATCTTCCGATCTAGCAGTCCAATATTGACAAACTTTTTTTTATTGTGAAGAAGAGGTTAAGACCTAAAAGACAAAAAAAAATTATTGAAATTGGATCACTGAATTAGGAATCAATTCTTTTTTTATGATTTACTAAAATTTAGTCATAATAATAATATGAAATACTTTTTCACGATTTTCTTATAATTTAGTATTTCAATTTCAATAAATTTTTTATTTTATTGAGGAAATCAAGATCTATAAAACAAAAAAAAGTTCATTGAAATTGGATCATTGGATCAAGAGATAATTATTTTCTTTTTTTGCCCCGATTTTACATAGTAAGACACTGCCGATCTTAACCGAATTAGCAATTAAAGAAATTTAGTAAATTAATATAATATTAAAAATAATATACTGTTATAATTAAATTTTAGAGTTGTAGGTACTAGTAGTTAAAGAAAAAATTTGATTTTATTTATTTTTATTTAATAGTTTTTATTAATGTTTTATTTACTTTGTTTCATTTGTATTTATATTATTTTTTTTTCTTTATTTTTTAATTCTTTTTACAAGTACTACATAAATGATTTTTATTTTTATATTTTCAGTAACAGTTATTCAAATATTATTAAAAGTTAAAAAAAAAAAAATTGGTAATATTTAATATTTTAAAGCCAAATTTATCATCAGAAATAAATAAAGTAATAATATAGTAATTTGAAAATAATTTTTTAAATTTCTTATAATATTTTTATGGCAATTTCTATTTGTACACAAGGTGTTTAAACACAGGTCATATTAGTAGATTAAAAACGGCATTCAAAACCTCCTTTAATGCCTTAAGTAAACTTGTAGAGTAGGTGAAAATACATATATAATATATTTATCTGTAATATAATAAGAATAAAAAGTAAAAGAGTATAATGTCGGTAACATTCAATTTCAAATTAAAAAACAAAAAATTAGTCTATTAAAAATTATGTTTATATGACCTGTGTACAAACACCCCATGTAAACTTAGAAATTTTCTATTTTTATTTATAAGATAAATTTATATGTAAATTGAAAAAAAATGACTAAAAAATTAATAAATTTATTAGTAAAGAGAAAAATTTAAGTAAGTTTATATACAAAATACTAAAATTTAAAATAAGTAAAATTTTTATTATAATAGTTTAAAAATATTGAAAAAATAGTTTTTTTCCTGTAAATTTTTAATCTACAATTTCTTATGAAAAACAGAAGTAATTTTTTAAAGAAAAAACTTAAAATAAATTAACATAAATATTCTGCAAACATATACAATTAGCCAATAAGAGGAAAGATTAAAATTAAAAATTAGATAAAAAAAAAAATAAATTTAAATTATTTAATTAATTTTTAATTTTTAAATATTTACTTAATTTGACTCTTTCCTTCCTTTCAATTTTTATATAAAATTAAAATATTAAACAAACTACATTAAACTATAATAAATTACCAGATTCTATAAAATTTACTTAGTAATATATATATAGTAAATTAAAGATTTTCATATTGCTTAAAAGTTTATGAATTTTCAATAAATCTAGCCAATTTTTTTTTTATTTGATAGCCAACCATTTCTAGTTTTTATGTATTAAAAAGTAAAATTTTTAAAGCGTAAAAAAATTCTCTTATTACAAAGTATAAGTAATGATCTTTCTATATGTTTTTTCTCATTTTACATATAAAATTATCTTGTCTGTTACTTTATAAATAAATCATTTTCTGCATTCTTAAAATTGGATATTTCTGATCATATTTTTAATAACTATAATCAATTGGCTTTCAAATAAAAAATTTTTTGACTGACTTTATTAAAAATTTATAAACTTTCATGCAACCTAAAAATCTTCAATTTTACTATATATTACTAAATAAATTTTATAAAATTCGGTAATTTACTGTAGTTTAGTGTATTAAATTAAAGTAATTTAAAAATCTTATTCAATTTTAATGGTTATATTTAGCTATAAAGTTTTTAAGATTATTATTATCAAAAAAAAAGTATAAGCTTATTCTATATTTAAAAAAAAATAAATAGTCTTATAAGTAGAAAGTTTGATATTGATGGTATAAGTTTAAATTGATACCATCATAGGATTTCACTAGAACCCTGAAAAATGCTTATATATGTAAAGTACTAAGGTGCTTAGTCAACATAGAAAAATTTTATGATGTAAGAATTTTATAATGCTTAATTTTGAGAAAATTTTATACTATGTAAGATAATTAAATTGCATATTTTTAGTATTATTTTAAAATACTAAGAGTTTTAGGTGCTTATTTTTTATATTTATAGAACTTTTTAAAATATTATATATTAAATTTATAATTTTAACGGTGAGTGTTAATTTTGTACTATATTTCACAATTTTATATAAATACATAAACAAAAATTTTTTTTTGATGAAATTTCAGTTTTTTTTTCAATATTTTATTAATTATCTTTCAATAGTATCTTTTTAATTTTATAAACTCAGTGTATTATTTTTAATATAAAATTACTATATTATACATGTTTATTTTGTTAAATAAAATTACTGTAAATATGTTTTACTTTAAAATATAATTTCACTACTTACCATTTTAATTATATCAAATTATCTATTATACTTAAATAAGATTGTTCAGCAAGTTAAATCTACTTGTATTTTAATTTTCATAATGCTAAGTATGATATTTATATAGAAAAGCATATTTTTTTTAATAATAATAACTTTTAAATTTTCACTTTTTCATTTACAACTTCAGAGCGTAATTACACCACTTTGGTCAAATGAAATCAACTTTCTAAATTAATTGAAGTTATTCAGCAAGGTCGAAACTACTTATATACACTGGTAAAAAAATGGTCTATCCTACACATATCCTATACATATTTTACATATATCAGGTACTCAAAATGTAGAAAATCATACACAAATAATACACATATCATACACATATCGGGTACTTATATATATAGTATACCTATCAGGTACCCGATATATGTATGATATATATATTAGTACCCGATATGTGTATGATATGTGTATTATTTGTGTATGATTTTCTACATTTTGAGTACCCAATATGTGTAAGATATGTGTAGGATAAATCATTTTTTTACCAGTGATATTAATTTTCATGAGTGTGGGTATAATACTTATGGAGAAAAATGCATTTTTCATAATGGTACTAACTTCTGAATTTTTTATTTCTCCGTTTACAACTTCAGAGCGTAATTACATCTCTTTGGTCAAATGAAATCGACTTTCAAAATTAATTGAAAATTGTTCAGTAAGGTCGAAATTACCTACATATTAATTTTTATAGGTGTAAGTATAATACTTATGAAGAAATTTACATTTTTTGTAATAGTATTAATTTTGAATTTTTCTTTTACTATTTATTAACTTTATTAATTAAATATTTTTAATCTACTTGTATATTATGTTTAGTTTAGCTTCACAATGTATTGATCATATTTAAAATTGGATTTAATAAAATATATTTAATTAATAAATATATTTTATAAATTATATGTGTTATAATAAAAATTTAATTAGANTTAAAATTGGATTTAATAAAATATATTTAATTAATAAATATATTTTATAAATTATATGTGTTATAATAAAAATTTAATTAGATTAGAAGATTGATTTGCTTATTTTTATATAATTTTTAAGGTTAGATATCAACAATGCTTAGTGATCATAGTAAAACCTATGCTTAGAGCCACTAATAAAAAATATTTTTGGGACCTTACCTATATAAGTATTTTTTGGGGTTCTATTCCACCTATTGCTAAAATAAATTACCAGTAGAAATTTCATTTCATATAAACTTTATTTTATGATTTTTTAAATTTTATTGGTTAATTAACTAAAAAGAAAAAAAATTATAACAATATAACATAAAATTTTCTTTTATAGTAGGATCTTTAAAGAGTATTATATATAAATTTTACCTTAAATTATTGTAAGATGGCCTATTTTAATAATAGTATGGGGTTCTGCCATTATACTTCCTTATGCTTTACCAGAAAATCTTAGAATAAAAATCCTAGATGAAGAATTCCAACTTAAAGAATAAAATTATAAGTATTATAAACCAGATTCTTATAAATATTCAAAAGCAATAAAATCGAAAAGAAGCAAAAAAATCCAAGAGGATCTTTCAACTAGAATAGCAAGTTCCAATCCAAGAAGGATAAAGTAAAGAAAATTCTCAGAATCTCTAAACAAAAACTTTACCAAAAAATAATGAATAGGATGTAATCTTTAGTGATTAATCAAATTCTTAACTTATTAGTTATAGGTTTATTTTATTTGTTTTTTAAATAGAAATTTTTGATTCTTTCAGAATTTTTCATTTTTATTAGTCAATTAGAATTTGTTATTAATTCTCACTCCTATACATGCCACCCAAATTAATTTTGGGCTGCCGTAATTATAAGTAAAATCCCAAATTCAATTATAACATCCCAAATTATTTTGGCACTTTACATAGTAAATTATATATAAACTGAATGAATTACGGCATCCCAAAATAATTTGGACAGCATGTATACTCACTCCCATTTTTTCTTAGTTTATATTTATAAGGTATATTTTACATTGCCAATAAAACTTTGTAGAGTAGGATACCAGCTTTGTTTTGTATAATATTCACTTTTCCAAGGTTATAACCATCACTCCCTTTAAGAAAAAAAAATAATAATAGTTTACTGCAGGTTTGGTAAAATGAAAAGTTCTATATATACGTAGAATAGCCGATTTAAATTATTAGTAAATAAGGATCTTCAAATAATTTTAATTGATGTTATACAAATTTTATTAGTTTGGTGAAACAAAACGTGACAAATAAACAAGTAAACTCGTATGAGGCTTTTTTTGGCATGTGATTATTGAAACTGCACTGCCTCACGGAACTGCGGTTAAAATTAGTTCAGGCTATGCGTTTTGTGGCTTGAATGATTAAACATCTTTTTACAAAATTATTTGTCTGTAATATGAAAAGTTAGAGCTTAATCAAAGGGACTGTTTTGAGAATTAAAATTAGCCGATTACATTTTTACAGTAAACTTTACCAATGAGCATCCTTAAGGGTGCATTGGAAAGGCTGTTAGCCGAGGCTCAATCATCAAAGCAAAAAGAGCTCGAACAAGTTTGTTCTACAGCTTTGGAACAATTACTACAAAATATAGATATAATCACAAAAGAAAATGCTTCAAACAAAAATAAACAAAACGGAATTACGAATGAAATTAGTGAAAAAGTTTCCGGTGAAACTAATGAGAAGGAGGGAAAAACAAAAAGTAGTTCTTCGCCGGGCAAATCAATCGAAAATGCATCTCCTAGTTTATTATCTGGCGGAAACGGACGAATATCCATTTCTAGTAGTTTATTTGCGCGTGCTGGAGAAGATTTACCAAAAATCATGGCCGATAATTATTGGCAACCATTTAGGCTTGCTTGTGGTAACTCAATGCCAAATAATATAAGGATCTTAGCACTAGATTGTTTACAAAAAGTAATTGCTCACGGGCTTTTTAAAGGGTTAAATCCAATTGCACCTCCAAAAGATACACAAACAAAGAAGAAAGATTCAAAAGTAAAAAAAAATAATAATAATGGTGGGTTTAGTGAGACAAATAATATATCACATATCGATGTATCAACGCCCTTCGATGATAATAATGAAATTGAGGAAAGTAGCTATTCCAATTTTCCTAATCCTGCCCGATTAATTGATGATGTTGTCCATACAGTTTGTATTGGTTTTGTTGGTCCTCAAACTGATAATACTGTTCAGCTTCAAATATTGAAAGTTTTACTTACACTTGTTACTACAGAACAATGTCCTGTTCACGGAATTAGTTTACTAAAAATTATTCAAACGTGTTGTAACATTTATTGTTTCTCAAAAAGTCAAGTAAATCAAGCAACCGCAAAAGCTGAACTAACTCAAATTTCAAATGCAATTGTTGCGAGATGGAAGGAGTTTTCTATTGAGTTATCAAAACAGGAAGCTGCGAAAAGCGCAGAAACAATTTCAGAAATTAAATTAACCAAAGAAAAAAACGATAATCATGAGTTAGATAATGAAAGTAATGTGGAAAAAAATGGTGTTGAAAATAAGAACAATAGTATTGAAACTTTTGAATCGGAATCAACTATTGGTTCAAAGTCAGTAAATGGTATAGGGGAAATTTCCGAATCGTCGTCAGAAATTATCGAAAGTACTTTAATAGAAAATGAAGTTATTAATGACGAAAATTCTAACTCACAGGATATAATTGAAAAAATGCGAGATGAGAAAGGAAATAACAAAAAAGATGATAATTCTTTTGAATTGGAACATAAAAATCTAGAACAAAATTCATTAAACAAGAAATTGGAAAATGGGGTTAAAAGTAAAAATGAAATTTCTGATGCCGTGCCCGTTGTTACAACAATTAAAGGAAAGGATACATCATCTGAGATACTAAACGAGGATAAAGCGCCTTTAAAAAGAAGGAGATCATCTTTAGCATCCAAAAAAGATCTTAAGATCACGATACCTCCTCTCAACACTGGAAAGAAATCTAAAACAATACCTAATCGACAAGACGCGTCTCATGAAACCTTGGTTATTTTACGTAAAGATCTTTATTTAACCTTTAAATTATTTTGTAAACTATCTATGCGGTCTGATTCAACCGAAAATTTGCAAAATGAAGAAATAAATCTTCGCGGTCGCTCTTTAGTATTAGAATTAATTTTATCAATGTTGGATAATTCCGGTCCAATCTTTCAGTCTGATGAACTATTTATTAATTTAATTCGTCAATCTCTTTGTGTTTCATTATCACAGAATGGGGTTTCATCTAATGAACAACTTTTTGAACTTTCACTTTCTAATTTTTTAATGTTATTACGATACTATCGTGCACCTTTGAAAACAGAACTGGAAGTACTATTTAGCGAAATTTATCTAAGATTCTTAGATATGTCAAATGCGACTTATCAGCAAAAACATTTAGTATTACAAGGTCTAATTAAGATATGTCAAAAGCCGCAGATTTTGCTGGATATTTATTTGAATTACGATTGTGATTTTTCAATGGCTAGCGTATTCGAACATATAGTAACTTCATTGTCTAAAATCTCGCAAATCCGCACAAAAAGTCAAAGCGGGTCGACAATGGGTAATTTAATGGGTACAAATTCGTCAAATCTAGAATTGGTGGCATTACAGGATAAGATACTGAAGGTGAAAGGATTAAGGTGTTTAATAGCTATTGTCAAATCTTTGATTGAATGGTGTAAGGATTTGGAAAGAAAAAATGGCATAAAGACTCCACAATCTTCACCTCGTAATCCTTCGCCTGATATTTCAGAAGACAAAACTCCAGTAATTTTTTCGAAGAATCCTTTGCTTAATGTAAATTTTTCTACATTACATGCAAATTCTAGTGGAAGTAGCGTTGGTATAGAAGATTATGAAGATAATCCAGCACAATACCAAGAAATCATGTCACGTAAACAAACTTTACGTGAAGGTATTAAGCTATTCAACGCAAAACCAACTAAGGGGCTTAATTTTTTAATAGGGAATGGTTTCTTAAAAAATGATAGTGTTAGCATAATATCTTTCCTATCTTCAACTCCAGGTTTAAGTAAAGCTGCTATAGGTGAATATTTAGGCGAAGGTGATCCAGAAGCTATCAAAATCATGCATGCCTTTGTGGATCGTATGGATTTCATGGGATTGGGGTTTGTTGATGCCTTGAGAGTATTTTTACAGACATTTCGATTACCCGGTGAATCACAAAAAATTGATCGGATTATGGAAAAGTTTGCTGATCGTTATTGTGAAAATAATCCAGATATATTCGCAAATGCAGATACTGCATATATTCTTGCCTATTCCGTTATTATGCTAAATACTGATCAGCATTCAGCACAAGTTAAGAGACGCATGGATAAATCCGAATTCACTAAGAATAATCGAGGTATTAATAATAATAATGATTTACCTGATGAATTTTTGGGGGAAATATTTGACGAGATTGCAAATAACGAAATTGTTATGGAGGAAGAACAAATATCAGAAGTGGCAAAAACTGCAATTAGCCATGCAAATGATCGGGAACGTCAAGAACTATACGAGAGAGAAATTTCACAGATGCAAAAGAAAAGTCAGGCATTGTTGAAGAGTAACAGGGAAGGTCATACGCCAGCTGTTTGGCGAAGTGCTTCGCACGCAGATCATGTTAAGCCAATGTTTGCAATTGTATGTTGGCCTTTAATGGCTACTCTTAGCCTTGTTTTTGAAGAAGCTGACGCAAATGGGTATTTTAAAGCAGCTGAATTTATACAAGCAAATCAAGAATCAGTCGAACTTTGTCTTGAAGGATTTCTTGGTGCTATAAGAATTAGTAGTATCTTTAGAATGGATGTTGAAAGAGATGCTTTTGTGTCTTCATTAGCTAAGTTGACGGGTTTAAATCATGTTGATGAAATGAGGTCCAAAAATGTAACAGCGATAAAAACGTTACTTTCCGCTGCTAATTCCTACGGTGAAGGTCTACAATCTTCATGGCTCATTGTTTTAAAGACAATATCTACGATGGAGCGATATCAACTTATTGATAGTTCAACAGGATCGGTCGTTTATACTACAGAAGGGCTAAGTGGTTTGGATTATTCTCCACAAAATAATAAAAATGTCGTACAATCTACTACAAATTCTTCAAGTAATCCGTCATCCATAACTTCTGCCTCACGACAGAGTATTAGCAAAACACGTCGTGGTTCACTTGGGGGTGTTATGAAGGAGTTTCAATCACAAAGTACAATAATAGCTATCGACCGAATTTTTACAAACAGTGTGAAATTGAGTGGCGATGCGATTGTTCATTTTTTCGGTGCATTGTGCTCAGTTTCTCTTGAGGAAGTAAATTTTTCAAGAACGTCACCAAGAATGTACAGCTTGCAGCGTATTGTTGAAATTGCATATTATAATATGTCAAGAATTCGGTTTGAATGGACACAAATTTGGAAAATTCTCCAACCTCATTTCAATACTGTTGGATGTCACCCTAATGATATTGTTGCTATTTTTGCTATTGATTCTCTCAGACAATTGAGCATGAAATTTTTGGAAAGAGATGAGTTATCACATTATAATACCCAGAGTGAATTTATGAAACCTTTTGAACACATAATTAAAAATAATCCATCACCAAATATACATGACCTTATTATTCAATCATTTACTCAAATGATTTCTGCTCGTGCAAAAAACATTAAATCTGGTTGGAAGAGCATCTTTGTAGTTTTTGGTCGTGCTGCATCTGATGAAAATCCTCAATTAGTAGAGAATACTTTTGCCGTTGCTAGATTAGTCTACCAAAAACATCTGGATCTTATTGGACCAGCCTTTGTTGATTTTGTAAACTGCATCGTGGAATTTGCTTTTAATGCAAAGGAAGAGGAACTTGTTAATGAAGCAATAAGAATGCTACAAGGGTGTGTTAAAGTTTTAGTAAAGGATGTGGATAGTACATCTGGGAAAACTGAAAACAAGAGAGATATGATAGTAATACCACAAACCACTGAACAATCTACGCTGACAAAAAAGAAATTACAACATATTGAAGAAGAACAATTCTTTTTGAAATGGTTCCCCGTTGTTTCAGGGCTCTCTCGGTTAGTTATAGATTCAGAATCTCAAACTGTCCGAAATAAAGCGTTAGAAGCTCTTTTCGACATATTAAAATCTACTGGTCATCTTTTTGAGATAACATATTGGATAAAGATTTTTAGAAATGTTATTATGCCTATATTTGAAGATCTTAAGGAGCCAACTCCGTCACAACAAACTTCAACGGTTGATTTTAGGAGACGCGAATCTACAGCAGAAGTTTGGATTCAAACAATACGCCTGATGGTAGATCTTTATGCTCGATTTCATGAAATATTCGTTACACAGCCTGAATTTCTAGTAGAACTATTAGATTTACTTGTGGCACTTCTTAAACGTAGAAATGAAAAATTGGGTCAAACAGGTATTCGATGTTTCCATAATTTAATAGCCAGAAATGGAATTCGCTTCGATAACGTAACATGGAAAATAGTGACTAATACACTTGAGGAAATTTTCAAATGGACTACACCAAAAGAGCTTTTGGAAGTGGATACAGTTGCGTCTGATAACCACAGGGATGAAACAATTAACGTTAGACTGAATCATGTAGGCGGTAACAACCAAGTTAACCAAGTTCCAAATGGATCTGAAGAAGATTCTATAGATTCTCTAGTAAATGAGAATCCATATCCACCTGCTCAGACAGCAGCTATAACTACAAAAGTTGATATCGATTTCGCTCATGCAGTTATCAAATGTGCGGCACAACTTACTGCCATTCAGTCAGTACGAGATCTTGCTCTTAATGACGCAGCGTCAAGAGAACAAGGAGAACAAGTTCATTATCTTGCGCGAATGCCAGCCGAATATCGAAATCGATGGTTGAGATGTCTTTATAATTCATATAAATTTGCATATGATTTTAATGCAAACCATGACCTTCGACGTGCATTATTAAAAGAAGGATATGTTCAGCAAATGCCAAACCTTACGAAACAAGAAACATCTGCATTATCTGTATTTCTTTCGATCCTTTATGATCTATACCGAACATTTGGTGATGCAGACCGGGATTTATTACCACCACTTGTAGAAGAATCAACAAAAGTGCTTGAGCAATTTATACGATTAATTAATGAACCAGTATCTAGTCAGCAACAACGAGAAATGACAAATTGGTCACCATTAGTAATAATCGTACTAAGAGAATTATGTAAAACGAAATGGGATTCTGGAAAGCGAGCAGATAGTGATGCTGATTTGTTTGATGATGATGCCGGAGAAATTCATGATACAAGAACTACAAGATTAGTCGGATTAAGGAAACAAATACCAGATTTTTATCAATTAGCAATTAAGATAATTGGTGTGGATGGATCAGATGTTAGGGTTGCACTTCAAGAATTTTTAGAAAAAGTTGGAAATGAATTTTTGAATGTTGATCGATGGGATAATTAACAGTAAAGACTATTGGATAAATGTAATATTTATTGAAAGCATGTAATACTAATGTTTTAATTATACCATTAACTGTTAGTTTGATTGCATAATAGATAATCATTTACTTATTTTATTATATTAATAATATTTTTTTTCTATTATACTGAAAATGTATTATAGTTTTATCAAAAATTATTTTTTATTTCTAAAATTTTAATTAGTAAAAAACATTGCAAAAGTATTTTTTAAATACATTTGATCTAAATATTATTAGAAAAAAAGCATTGTTTTATATATTACTATTACTGCATTATATCCATTTTAAAAATTATTAATAACAGTAGAAGAAAAATATTTTAGAAAAGTAAAATCCAGAATAGGATGGAATGCAGTAATTATTTTGATACAAAACCTATTTTAGTCATTTATTTAATTTTATTACTTTTTTTACTAAAAAAATTAAAAAAAAATATATTATTAAAAGGATTAATTTTACATTTACCTCTGGTAAATTTATAATTTACATTATGCTTTTATGCATAATTTTATAGTAAAATTCATCTGCTAATAAAATATTTATCAGAAATAAAAGAAAATTCTATGTTTTTATTCATTTATATTCTATTTATATTCTATTTTTGATTATATAAACTTTTTTTTTCTGCAAATATTTTGTATAATATAAATACAAAAAGTAAAGAATTACAGGATTATTCTAATATAATTAATTTATTAAACTGCTTATTATATTATTAAAATAGTATTAAAGTACTTTATATATGTACTGTTAAGTAATTAATAATTATACTAAACAGATAGAAATAAAATAGCAAAATACAGTCATCTTTCCATATAGTTACTCCCTGTATAATCACAACTCCCTTATAAGCACATTTATATTAATTCTAAGTTACTAATAAACTTATTAAAAAAACCTTTCCTTTAATCATATCATATATAATTTTTATAGTCATACCATTTTTTTATGGTTCTGAAGGGTGTGATTATATGGGAGGATGACTGTATATGCATCTTTTATTTATATCAATTTAGAAAAAAAATATCAATTTCATACATTGGATTTTATGATATGCTTATTTTATGAAAAGATATAGGTCAAAATAGGACTCCATTTACTTATCTTTTAGAGTATTTTATTATGCTTAAATTTGCCTGCAACTTTTAAAAATATAATTTTATTATTAAAAAAAATTAACTTATTAATAATTGAGAGTAAAAAATTTTTATATGTCAAAAGCTAAGATCAAACTTAATTAATAAAAAAAAAAATCTGATGGCAATATAAAAAAATCGTGTGAATTTTATTATTCAAATCATGACATCAACCATAATTGATAATGTTAAATATTTTCTAATCTAAATCGCAACCACTATCCTGAAAAATCTCATTCGTCAGAAGACCTCCAACTGATATAATTACAGCAGATTGCAAAATTGTAAGACCACTTTATGATTTTTTAATTTGAAAATTTGATATTTTGAATTTTTCAAAAACCAGTAAAAAATCAAGTTAAATAGAAATATATCATATGATTTAATATAAATAAATTACTTTAAAATCTATATTAATTTTAAGGAGTTAAAGTATCCAGGATTACCCCTTATGGTGTGTACACTTCTGTACAATCACTGGTTGCTGAGATATTTAGCAAAATGTCAAAAATTGGCATTTTCATTTTATGATAATGTGAAATTTATATTTTGCCAATGAACTATTGTGCATCTCTGTATAATTATTGAATGCCAAGATACCCAAAAAATTGAATAATCCTATAATAATCTGGACTGATCTAGGCAGATTACAGATTGTAAATTTCATCCAGATCACATCTCTATAATGACACGTTGGCTGAATTAGGTGAAGTGTTTTGTGACTGCATTTTGCACAGTACCATCTTAAGAAGAAGGGCCAGCAGGAATGAGAAATATAGGCTGGGAGGTGAAAGTATCCAAACCCATATCTGCCACTGCTATATCGGCAGTAAAATTTTCATCCATATCAACTTTTGAAGTAATTCTAGTTCTTTTTTGAGGAGTTTTGTCAGTTTTATTATGTTCAGTGTCTGAACTGGAAGTATCTGAAGAAGAGCCATTGGCTGCTTTTTCTTTTTTTTCGAATAGCAGGGCTCCTTTGGGATTACTGTTGTTATTTTTACATTGATTAGGTATAATTAAGCGAATTTTCTTTAGTGAAAAAGCTATATAGACTCCTAAAAAGTGATTAAAATAAAAATAAACTCCTTAGATCATCCTCTGTGATATATTTAAATACAGTAGATGCAACTATGCTATAAAAGTGCACCCATTATTAAAATTGATACCAAAACCAGTTCTACTAAAAAAGCAGTTATCCAATAGCACCATTAGATGACCCAGAAAACCTGAATAGTGATTAAACCAATGTAAGCCTTGAACATGTTATTGTCTGGAGATGGTAAAGTTGAAAAAGATAAATATGTAAACTTAGGCAAATTAGAAAGCCTTGGTTGAGTTTTGAGAGTGGTTGAGATATTAACAGAACATTTCCAATGGCTTTTATCAATGATACGGGCATCCCATACATGTCTGCGTAATTTGTGGATAAAATTGTTATGAATAGCAGAAATAACTTTGCATATGAAAGAGCCAGGTCAGAAAAAATATCAGAAAATTGTGCAGGAATAAATCCATGCATGAGACCATGAGTAGACCAATTAGTGGAAGAAAAATTCCAACATGGTAATTTGGATAAATATGTAAGATATATATATATATACTGCTTTGAAAAGTTTCTGAAAAAGATGTTTTTGATAAAAAAAGAAAATTGATTACTGATTGCACATATATAAATGTGTCAAAAATAACTGATACTTGAATTAAAGCTTTTCAAGTAAAATCCCAATCGATGCAAAGAATGGTAGTTTCAATAAATGTCTCAAATTCATTTCTATCAACAGTCATAAAAAAGTACATGTTCGTGATTACAGGATTGTTCAAATTGAGAGATATGAATGGCAGAATCCACAGTATGTGCTGAATTGACAAGGGAGTCAGCAAAATCATTCCAGTAGTTATCAGAATGTGCTGTAATTTTGTAAGACATAATCATGAAATGCTTAGAGATTATGAGTTATTTTATTGAAGACCAAAGCTTAAAGTTTTTGGTTTTGTAAGTGAGACAGGGATTCAAAATGACATAATTAGAGATTAGCTTGAGAATTCGTACAGAGATACACAAGCACCATCAGGAACAGTTGAAAGGGCTTAAGGGCTGCATAAACAGCAGCTTCCATGCATGACCAATGTCTAATAGGACCATGAGCATATGTGGCAACAGAATCAAATCATGAATCTGAATCCAGCTCCAACCCATAAAAACCTCCAACCATCAGTATAAAAAGAGTAATAAGCATCATCAAGATGCATAAGGTTAATATCAGCATAAACACATTTAGCCAAAGAGGCAGGAGTAAGCAAGTTGTTAGTATAAGGAGGGCTAACATAGAAAATCAGGAAGGATTGACAGATGCTCTTTGTATTCATGAATAGGCTTCTTGATTATAGACCATAAAATTGTAGAAGAAATTTTCATCAATAAAGCAGTGACATGTTTCTGTTTGGTCAAAAAACCATAGCTGTGAGCAAGGAGACTGTGACCATACAATATTGTAGTAGAGTTATTATAATAAGTTTTCTTAGTATTGAGATTACATCTATTGCACCAATGTAGATGAATCAGTTTATTGGGAGATAAGAATCATCTATAATTTAGTGTAATACTATACAAGATTGTCATTGAAGTTAGATCGCTAATTGTTTACCAAAAATTAGGATTAATTAAGACAATCCCAACATCTCTTGTGGCTGTCAAACTGATTACAGGAAGAGAGAAAAGACTTGACCAAAGACACAGTAGAAGTGGTAGGAAAAAATTAATCTTGCAAAAGACCGTTAGTGTCAGAGACTGTGACATGGTTCATTAAATCAAAAAACCATTTGGAAGGTTTTCCCAGACCTCATTTATTGGAAAAACACAAAGTATACAAGGACTATAAAAGAAGATGAGAAACTTGTTCATCAACCAAATCTGATAGGATAAAGATTAAACGTTTTTGTAGTATGGGAATGTGCAAAGTAAATAAGGCAATTGAATATAGGTATAGATCCATTGAAGCAGTGATAGTGCAATGAAGTTTCATCAGAATAGATGAAAGGAGCGCTAATGTGCAAGCAATATAGTTTTTTTAAAGAAAATAAAGAGGCCCAATGGGACCAATCTGAGACTTCTAAAGGAGAAATAGGAATAAAAATCTATTTTATTTTATTTCTAAAAAGAAGTTACCTAAGGTGCAGTACATATAAAGTCTAATAAGCATCTAAGACACTAAAGTTACAATTCTGTGTAGACGCACATGATAATAAATTACGTATACATTGGTACAAAACCTTGCCCTCCGCCGAAAAAAGAACTGCCCATACACACTGGGTAGTTAAAAAAAAAGGGAAACAGTGATGAACCTGCTCCTAAGCATCAGGCTTATAGAGTAGAAATAAAAAAATCAAAAACTATTCTGCTTAAAAAAATAATCTAAATTATATAGAAGCTTTTGTCAAGGATTGTTGTTTATCCTTCTTCTTACAGATTTCTTCTTGTCCAGGGTATTTTTAGTCTTCATGCTTCAGAATGGTGTGTTTAAGGTTGCTTGCCGAAACCTAGGGGTTTAGGCAAGATGGCGTTTTGCCGAAAAGTGAAATTCTGCTGAAACTATATTAAAGTTATATTAAAAAACTGGCGAAACTTTGGAGAAAGGCGAAACTGCCGAAACTTATTATAAATGCCGAAACTGCCGAAACTCTGCCGAAACTATAATAAATCTATAGTAAAATTTTGATAAAACTAATCGTAGGATTTTGAAGAGGTTTAGACAAGCAACCTTAGGTGTGTTGACACCATTTCAACTCCTTATCATCAGGTATGAAAAACTGTGGTGTATCTAAGGCCTTAAGTGTGGTCTCCCAATTCTCAAAATAGGCCACAAGTTTCCTCTTTCCTTTACTTGGCTAACACCACACTTCGTAAAAATTCAGCCAGTTTACAGACAATCCACAAGGTAGCCATCATCATATCCTTCAGAATGTCATGAATAACGGCTTGAAACTTTTCACATTGTTTCCTTTCTTGTAAAGTCCAACTTGTGGGAAACCATCTTACGGGTATACCTTCCAGGTCAGTCGTCCAGAATTAAAAATCTATATTTTATTTTTTATTTTTGAATACCTAATCTTCTATATATTAAAAAACACTGCAATTATGTGGGTGTTATGTTTAGATTAACTATACATATAAATAAATCATTTAAATTGTGTAACTCTACTTAAAACCAAAAAAGGAGGTCGTCTAAAGCTGGAGAAATCACGTGATTTGATTTCGGGATTTGCCATATATGTTACGTGTTTTATCGGAAAAAAAATGTGTGCCGCGAAGTAAAATTTCTTAAAAATATCAATAAATCAATAAAAAAAAAATTTTTAAATTTTAAATAAAATGTAAGATTCTATAAACAAAAAAAATAAAAAAATAAAAAATCAAATAAAAAGCCATCCATATTTATTGTTTTATTTAAGTTTTAAATGTAACTTTTTTTTAATATTTACATAAAAAATTTGTGAAAAATCATAAAATGTATTTTCATATCAATGAAATTTATTGCGAATTCCAAGCATTAAGCATCAAATAATCTTAAGTTTTTCCACTTGAATTATTATCAAAACGCGAGATGATCAGATCCACAAAGGCTTCTAACATAGAAATAAAAGATTGCATTCTTTCAACATCACCCATCTCTTCAACATGCCAGTACCTATCGCACATTCTTTTGGTTAATTCACCTACAGCAATTTTTTGACTTTCAGCGCCTTTTTGTTGCTCTGTTTGAACATATTCTATGAAGGACTTTCAACTTTCATATACCTTGAACCCACTTTCTTCAAACATTTGATGAAACATTTTCCATACTTCGGCGGTTAACAATTTATTGCCGTACATGTGTTTGTGAAAAATATGTTTGCACGGCAATAAATATCGATGGTGAAACAAGCAGAAACAATTGAGAGAAGTAAGACCCGGAACACCTTTTCCTTTTTCAAGTCGATTCATTATAGCACAGGCCTCTTTGATGATTAATTGTTGAAATGGAAAGGGGAACTTTTGAGAATATCATCATCAACACCATAGGTGGATACTTTTTTGATGCGAAAATCAAAGGATGCACTTTCGGCTTTGGATCTCTTTTTGCAATCGATATTAACTATCCCATGAACAGCACCAATCAAACCATGTAACGAAGATGTTATTTTCTTTAATTCGCTATGAAAAGATTCTAACGAATTCGTTGACATGACTTGTAAAAGCAGGGGGAATGTTGACAAGTCCATAAACCCCATTTCTCTATATTTTTCGTATACAGTCAGCCCCTCTACAATCACACCCCTCGGGACCATCCAATGGTGTGATTATAAGTCTGGAAGAACATGAACATATCCGTGACATAATAGTATATAACATTCCATATACCTGGTCTGCTAAAAAGATCGCAGCAGAACTAAAACTTTGGGCAACCCTATTAAGCTTTCAATAAAAAGACAGCACAAATACCAAACCTTTAGAGTGAAAATAGCATTGTCCTCGTTTTCCTCACCATAGTTTAATAATAATTGGGCTACAGATTTAGGAGGTATACCAGTGCGATGGTTTTCTGCAAGTTGGAGTCTTCGCGAACGAAAACAAAGAGAGAAATTCCAGGCCGTAGTTTATAACATTCTGAAAGAAATTACTATATGCACCTTGTGGAATGACCGAAAACCACTACTTACTTATGCGAACTTGGGGCCAAGTCGTTTAAGATTATACAAACAGGTAAAGGTAAGAGGAAGCTTGTTGGATATTTCAAGAAATGGGAGGCTGTACGCAAGGTCTTAGATAATCATCAAGTTTTGAGCTCGGAAGGGATCAGGTTGCAATGGTGTCAACACTCTACACCTAACCTAAAGAAAGTGCCCTTGACTAAAGATTATTCTGGAGGAAAAAAGGCTCATTCCAGTAATGCGAAGTCAAAAAAGAAGGATGATAAGTCCTCAGTTAAAGCTCCTAATACAAGTAATAAGTTGAAGAAACCGTTGGACCAGAAAGCGAAAGCATCTGAGAAATTGGACAATTCAAACAAGAAGGCGAAGGGTGGTAATAGTTTGAACAAAGAGGTTTTAGCAAAAATTTTAGAATTATTTGTACTTGTTATTAGCATAGCCAAATCCTTTTATGTTTAGTACCACAATTTCTTGAAAAGGGGACTTGTTCTCTCCATTTTGTTTTTTTTTACCTGGTGTGTTTGCCTAGATGTAAGTGAAAGTGCTTATAGATAGGTCTTTCTTTTCAGTTTTTTCTGGTTATCGATGATAGGTTTTTTTTTAGGATGAGTTCGGCACTTTGGTGTTGACATGTGTATTCCCTACCTGCTTCACATAAAATAAATAAATAAAATAAAATAAATGTTTGAGGTCAATCCAGAAGACATCTGAGAATCATCAAGCAAATGTTGAGACAGAATATAATTAGGAAATGGAGACTGGATAGGAGGACTACTTGGAGGTATAGGAGGCGGATGTGAGGAAGTAGAAGAAAGGTGAGCTTTTTCTCCAAAGATATAGTGTTCTATTTTTGTCATTCTCTGATCTGAATCGCCAGAAGCTTTTAAGATAGGTAATTGTACAAACCACATTTATTGGTAGAAAAGGAAACAGAATGTTTCTTGCCATTACAGTCCTTAGATTTATGATGAGCACGGCCAGATGGGTGATTTTGATTACTATTATTAGTAGGAAATTTCAGATTGTTAATCAGGATTAGTGTTTTTAGGATCAATCACGAGATTTAGAATATGATCTAGACCTGGATTGGTTTGAACTAGCATTTTTCTTATTAGCCTGATTAATATTGAAGTTTGGCAATGCGTGAGCATCCTCTACCACCACGTAGAGGGTAAGATTGTGGATTGCAACCAAAGTTTATCACAACAATGATAAAGTTCCCATCTGAAGTTATGCCTTTGAAAAGCAATAGTCTGTTCTATAGTGATATCTAGGAGTTCCTGAGAACTAGTGCCAAATCAATATCTTTGGTATTAACTGAGAGTAAGTAAGTAATGCTACGTGTTCCCACTTCCCAGTGTAATTTTTTAAACATTATATACAATATATAAATTATTAAAATTGATACAAATTAATGATTTTACAAAAATAAGAAAATCTTCTGCAATGGTATTTTTTTTTCTTTTAGAAAACTTCTTGAATAATATAAATTACTTGCTGGTAGGACCTGGACATCTTTTATATAACTTATAACTGACTTTTTTCCAATTTGCTCTTTTTTATTTTCAGTTTTTTGTGATTATCTTAGCATTTAGTAATCTGATTTATGCGAATTTTTTTTATTTTGTAGAGCTTGATGAGAGTAAGGTTGCTTGCCAAAACCTCTCCAAAATCCTGCGATAAATTTCGGCAAGATTTTACTATATGTTTACTATAGTTTCGGCAGGGTTTCGGCAGTTTCGGCAAATGGCTGTTTCGGCATTTTGGCAAAGTTTCGGCAGGATTTTTAATATGATTTAATATAGTTTCAGCATTTTCCGTATAGGTTTCGGCAGTTATTAAGAAGGTTTCGGCAAGCAACCTTAGATGAGAGTTACAAAATAAAAAAAAGTAGGACCACTAGATGCTAAAATAATCGCAAAAAACCTGATTTTTTTTTAAAATTTAGGGTCAATTTGTGAAAAGGTAACCTCTGAAGAAAAAAAGGAGACTTCTTTCTTACAGATTTCGCCAAAATTTCACTAAAGAAAATTTTTACTTTGTACTAATATAACCCCATTACAACTCACTTAATTATGATTAATCAACGTAAAAATAACAATAGCAACTCCAGAGACCAGAGGGGGCCTGCTGTTCAAAAAGAAAAAAGAAAAGTAGCAGCCAACAGCTCTTCTTCAGATACTTCCAGTTCAGATACTGAACACAATAAAACTGACAAAACTCCTTAAAAAAGAACTAGAACTACTTCAAAAGATGATATGAATGAAGATTTTGCTGCCAATACAGCAGCAGCAGATATGGGTTTGGAACTTTTCACTTCCCAGCCCATAGTTTTCATTCCTGCTGGCCCTTCTTCTCTCCAGATGGTACTATGCAAAATGCGCAGTCACAAAACTTGTTATCTAACAAAGAATCTGCCTCTCCCAATGTGTCCCTGAATTTATTAAAAAATACCTAACTAGTAGGGCAATGATCGATGCTGTCAATAATTTTTTTCTAGAAACTTACCATAGTTATATTGGTAAGGTCAAGACCATCGGTAAAGATGAATCTACATTGCAGAAAACCATGACACCTGTGTTAATGGTACCCACCCTGAAACTTGCTGAAGATTTGCATGCTATACAAATCACAGATATTCCATTCTTCACACGCACATCAATTCTAAAGTTCAGCAAGTTTGAATTGTCTTTGATAATGCCAACACCATCAGATGTTTTAATTCTTTATTTAAGATTTTCATAATTAAACACTAAGAACTATATCACGATGAAGTAACCATATGTGTACTGTCAGTGAAGGACTTAGGCTAGGGGATGGCATTCTTAGAGGGGTCCCCCTCCTCCTGGTCTACACCATGAGTACCTCCAAAGACAGCAACTACAGAAAAAAATAAAAATAAAACAGGGTTAACTAAATAAAAATTTTAGTTTCATTTGTCCCATCCTGTCCTACCCAAGGACATATCCCAGTCCCAGTCACAACACTGCATCCTGCCTATAGTTCACTCAGTTCTCAAGTCTTCTAAGTAGTGATCTAATTTCTGCCAACAAAGTAAGTTTTCCAGTATCACTACCATCCAAACCTTTCTTAATCTTTCCAAGAGTTTTGGCTTGCTCTCCTTAGTCTTATTATTCATAGTAGTTTGTCCAATCTTGTTAGCTGTATCTACTTCTTAATGATTGATTACGACCTTTAGACATCTAGATTCCTGGAGACCCCTTTTTGGGGTATAGGGTATGGCTTTGGCGTTCAATTTTGTAGAACTCTTTTTGGTAACATCCATTAATTGGTATGATTAGTGTTCAGTATTTTCAAAAATTTCCATTTCCATTGGCTGTACCTGTGTTGATACTGGTGTATCATTGATTATTAGTTCTGTTGATTACTTGATTCAAACTGTGCCACTTGTTCTTGAAATGGTTTATCAATAAAATTCTTCATGGAGGTTTTGTACTCATCAGCAAAAGTGACAAAAGTAAACAACAAGTAGGTGAGTTGTATGTCATTCTTAATACCAAGTTCCTTAAGTACTGCCTTATGGTCTTTAACATAATTTTCAGTATTGTCATATTCTTCAGCAGGTAAAATACGCTCTACATATCCTTGAATATTGTTCAGACAAGTAAGTTCAACCTTCTGAAAGGTAAGGTTGCTTGCCAAAACCTAGGGGTTTAGGCAAGATGGCGTTTCGCCAAAAAGTGAAATTCTGCCGAAACTATATTAAAGTTATATTAAAAAACTGAAACTGCTGAAACTTATTATAAATGCTGAAACTGCAAGAGGTTTAGACCAGCAACCTTACTGAAAGGCAATACTAAGTGTTTTAAGAAGATTCTTTCCTGTTAAGATAAAAAAAATAAAATTATTATTCTGCTAAAAAAATGGATATGAAGATCATTTTGTAGATCATTTTGTAGATCACTTGATTTTTTTTATTTTATTTATTTATTTTATTATTTATTTTATCAAATATTCTTAATTTTTATTTTATCAGTCAGTGAGTTTTATGGATAGCTTTGATAGTTAAGAATCGTATTGTAGTATTTCAGTTATACGAAAAGAGTATTATTCCCAGTAGTATAATTCAAGATAGTTAATTTCACAACCAAGAGATTATCTATACTTTTCATTGTATCTAAAATCTTACATTATTTTAATAATTTTCTTTAACTGAACATCCAACATCATTTCATGTGATTATTTGTGATCAACTTAAGACTCTCCTATTAAGTTAACCTGTTAAAGTTTTTCAGTCAGCTTTAAAGAAAAATAGTAATCATGAATGAATAAGGAATTTCAGTATCTACAACAGATTTTTCAGCATATGGAAGATCATAGTCAAGGAAAACAGGATTTAATTGAAGATTTATCATGTGCAGATTACTATCCAGAAGATCAGAATTTAGGATTATTAGAGAATTCCAGATTTAGAGAATTTTGGCAATTTGTTATTTTACCTAAGTATCCAGTTAGTATTTTTACACAAAATACTATATGAGTTTTTAGGAAATTACAGTAATTACAGATTAATC